AAAGTGAAGGTTGCTTATGAGGCCACTGGACTCATATACTTTGTCCTCATTAGAATTAGGCAGCAAATTGTGGGTCATAAGTAGAACATTGTGAACAATTAAAATAAGAGTCAAGTTTATTTCTATTCCATTAATCCTTACCAGAATAATAATGTCTGTTCATTTCAATAGAATAAGTCATTTTCATTCATACTGAAAAGATGGCATCCTTCAGTCAACTGTGAAATTTGACAAAGAAGGAGAAGGCTTAGCTCAAAAAGAAAACATAAGTAGTTAAGGTTATTTGGAACCGATAAATATCCCCAACATACCTTTGTCCTTTGCCCATATATGCCAGAGTTTACTTATTTACTGGCATAAATTTCCCAGTGTCCACAAATGTCTTAACAAATCCCTAGCCTCAATCCTTAAATATATATACCTTCAAATGCAAGAGTAAAAAAGCACACAAAGCTGTCATGGGAATCATGACTTTCAACAGGGTAAGGAAGGAATGAAAATTACTCTACCTTAGTGCTAGGGAAATTTAGGCCAACTTACCACCCTTCATTCCACATAAGAAGATGATGAGACTGAGGTAGATTAAAGTATTTACTCAGAGTCTCCTATACTTCAGACACCGGCAGAAAAAAAAAAAAGAAAGAAAGAAAGAAACCAAGAAAAGAATGATGTTCACAATAGACACAACACACCCTTTGGATGTAACAGAAACACACCAGAACAGCAGTGAGTTTAGTGGACCAGAAAGGAGATGAAAAGTGGCTGGCAGCATGACAGAGAGAAATCTGGAAGGAGATTTCACAGATGTGCTCACAGATGCAGTCTTCCCATGTTTTTATTTCAATAAGTCTAGGTGTGCAAAACCACTCACTTATTCTTTAATATCATTCAACAAATATTATTAAACTCTTATTGTGCTAAGTCCATAAATAGCTGTCTTTGTGGAACTACTCTTCTAATGAGACCATGTCTCCTCATACCCAGTGCCTCCAGTGATAAATTTACAGAAATGCGGGACTAAGATGGATAGCAGCAGTTAAGAAAATCCACACATAAAGTATTAAATTAGATCCTGTTAAAAATTGCATTTACCAGCGGCACCTGGGTGGCTCAGTCAGTTAAGTGTCAGACTCTTGATCTCAGCTCAGGTCTTGATCTCAGGGTCATCAGTTCAGACCCTGCATTGGGCTTGTGCTGGACATGAAACCTACTTGAAAAAGTTGCATGTCCCACAACACATCCATCACAATGGCTAAAAATGAAAAGACTGTAAATACCAAATGTTAGAGTAAGAACATGAAGCAAATGAAACTCTCATACATTGTTGGAGGGAATGCAAAATAGCAACCACTTTGGGGAAAGATCTGACAGTTTCTTTTACAATTGAACATACACCTTACATGTTGTATGTAAGTGATCAATCATTAGAAGCTACACCTGAAATTAATATTACACAGTATATTAACTAACTTGAGTTTAATAAAAACTTGGGGAAAAAATACACCATACAAACAAAAATTCAAACCTAAATATTTACCCAAGAGAAATAAAAATATATGTCTATTAAAAACTTATATAAGTACATTCAAGAATGTTAATTCATAACAACCAAAAACTTGAGACAGCCTAGGTGTTCATACATAGAAGAATAAACAAACTGTGCTATATTCATGCAATGGATAATACCCAGCAATAAAAAAGTATAAATCATTGATACATACAACATGAATAAATTTCAAAATCCTTATCCTGAGTCAAAGACATCTTACAGAAAAGTGTACATATGATGTGATTTCATTTTGTGAAATTCTAAAACAGGCAAAACTCATCTCTGGTAGAAAACATTACAAGAGTGATTGCCTCTGAGAAAACGAATGAGAGAACTTTCTGGAGAGATGGAAATGTTCTAAGTCTTGATAGGTGTTTCAATTACATAAGTATATACGTTTGTCAAAAATCATCAAATACTATACTTAAGATTTGTGCTTTTATTGTATTTTCAAAATTTAAAAATATCTCTATATAAATACTGAACTCTGGTCAATATACATATTCTGAAGCAGTGCTTAGAAGGAAATGTCTTATGGTTGGCAGATTAGTTTGAAATGCATCCAAAAATTAAGATGGATTCCTGAATGGAAAAGTGGAGGGATATGTGACAAAGTAGGTAGAATAAAATGTTCATAGGGAGAATCTAAGTGTTCACTTTAAAAAAATCGGTGCTCACTGTAAAATTCTTTCAATTCTTCTGTTTGTTTGAAATTTTTTATAACAAAATGTTGGGGGGAAAGTTTCATATCATGTTTGTTTCACAGAAGAATTTCTATTTTCACACTAAATATTTTTTATGGTTTTACGTCAAATTCTCCCTTACTGTTCTAATTTAAACAGTATATATACAGCCTGTTAGATAGTTCATGCATTAAATCAGCCGGATAGAATCTCCTTGAAAGATCTATCTGCCTGGCATGTTAATATTAGAGGTGGACACACTTGACTAATTAAGCTAATCCTAGAAAAATCAATAAGATGCCATCTAATTAAATTACAAATCTTACCTTTGGTTGTGCATGTCTGAGTGCATAAGACATGACTGAGAAAAGAATCCAAAAATAAACTTCAAAGCATTAAGGCAGAAAACTTCTAATTAACATAGCAGACTAATTCGTACACACAAAAAAATAGTTCAAGGCTAACTCTTCAGATTTGGAAAATCAATGCCTAAGCTTCACATTTGATTGTTTTCTCCTAGCATCCATAAATAAGAAAATTAGAGAAAGTAATTCATACATTTGTTCCTGCTAACACTGCAGTGACTTTGAAGGAGACAGTAATCCCAACACTTGTAAGAGAGTTGGCCATGTAGGGAGAGAATCTAGTCCCTGTCCCATTCTGGATAGTATTGAGTTCAATATATTTCTTTAATTTAAAAAAACCCACAGGTCCTAGATCTGTGACCAAACTAAATCAGGTAATAGGAAATTATAAATTGAATTTGAAAAGTTAAAATGCGATCCATAAAATTAATTCTGTACTTCTTCAAGGTGGCTCTCTTTGACATCCAGTTCACTGTAATATTAGTAAGTCCAAAGAAGCTTGCTAGAAAAAAAATCGCAGAGTGATATTTTTATCCTCTTGGCACAGTGGTTTCAAACCCTCCCAAAGAGTTAATTATTTTTCTATTCCACCAGGGTTAAAAAAAAAAAAAGTTCATGTCCTTCAAAAGGTATTGAATTTCAAAATGAGTGATTTCTTTCTAGATCTGTTTTTGAATATTGACTTTAACTGAAATTTGATTCTTTGTAAACCTCCAACTCCCTACTGTTTGAAGATCTGAAAACTGTAAACTTTATCACAAGAATATGACCACCCTTGCTCAAAGACTAAAACACAATTACCTGAAGTACAAATATTTATGTGGCACACCTAGACAAGAAATAAAAGCCAAACTAGGTCTGATATTCTGTAGAAAGTACTGCTTTTCTTTGTCTACTCTTGAAACTAGACTTGCAATATGAAACTCACTAAATCCAGTGCCTTCCTACAATAATATATGGAGATGTGTGTATATACAGCACATTTTTCCTTAAGAATTCAGTGGGAATGTCTGATTCAGACCATGTTATCAGAGCTATATGAAATATACCAAGTAGTATATCTAATCGTGCACAAAGATTGCAATAAATATACAATGAGACTAATATTAGCTTTCATTCCACTTCACTATAGACTCCATGAAACACTTAGCCAAATGTAGCTAAGTGAATCTTATATGTTCCATCCTAATCTTTATTATATTATTTTCTGTTGCCTTAATTCCTGATTGTCTTCCTATCTGGGCTCAATGATCCCAGTCTTTACACTTGGCAATTGTTCAAGTTAAGTACAGAAACTTTATCAAGTATATTTCTAAACTTGACTATTCTATTGATCAAGTATATTGTTATTATACTTGATTTTCTTCAATATTAAACTTCTAGATAAATTTCCTGTTCTACCCAAGAGAAATTTCCCTTTTAAGATTGAGCTTAGTACATCTCTGTTTTTATCATGGTTTATATAGTCAATAATTTAATAAGATGTATGTAGAGAAGAGAGAGGAGGAACATAGATCTGCTATATTTTCTATCAGTAAAAAAAAAAAAAAAAAAGTATCTAAACTATAAAAGGCCCTCCAATCTTTATAAATATCCTTGACCTCACAAATCACTAATGTGGTACTTTAAAGATGCCTTTAAATTCTTTGCTGCTCCTCTCATTGTAAGGTGGATCCAAATATCCCTTCCCTCAACTTATGAATCTTATATAAGAAACTGTATAGCTACTGTCTGGGCTACTATGGCTCTGGGGGAAACCAGCTACCATGTAAGAAGCCCATCTACCCTCACACTACCATGCTATGAGGAAAATTAAGCTTGTCATATTGAGAGGCTGCTTGAAAAGAGGATACCCAGCCATCCCCAGCTATTCAACCATCCCAGCCCAGGCTCAGACACATGGGAGAAGAAGACACCTTCAGCAATACAAAAAGATATAATGTGGAGAACAGAAGAACCCAGTCAACAGATTCAAGGTCCCAGACATTTGACTTCAATAAGTCTGCCCAGCTGTCTCCAGCTGTTCAAGTCACCCCAGTCCATTCATCATGGAGCATAAATAAGCCATTTCTGCTGGGCTTTACAAAAATACCCAACCCACAAATTTGTGAGCCCTAATAAAATAGTTGTTTTGTACCACTAGATTTTGGAGTGATTTGTTTTGCAGCAAGATATAAGCAGAACAGCTAGTAAACACCCTCCTTAGGACTAATTGTTTAGTCATTTCACAATGTTTAATGAGAAGTTTATGTTGGTACACATAGTATTTGCTAATGTTTCCTATAGAAAGAGAATCTTGATTAGGAGGAAATGCATTATAATTTAGTAGTGATCTGTACTCTCAAGCATAGTGATATTTTAATGTAATAGTAAAAAGCAAATTGATATATTTTCTTTTCACAGGTACCTGAGATGCTATTACTGGGCCGTTCGATCTTTAATTACTATTGGGGGCCTTCCAGAGCCACAAACAACATTTGAAATTGTTTTTCAACTGGTGAATTATTTTTCTGGAGTTTTTGTGTTCTCCAGCTTAATTGGTCAGGTAAATGAAGATGTGAATCTCTAAATACATAATGCTGGTATTTTTGAAAGGCTAATAAGTCTTTATCAATTTAAAAACGAAAAATTAAAATCCATCTAGTGCCTTTTTTTTTAACTAACTTTCATCGATTTTAATGAATTGGAGGAGGATGGAAATGAGCCAACCAACATTGCCTTTCAATTTTTAACCCATTAAATCTATCAGAAGACCTGTCCACAATGAGTGTCAGGTTAGACTCCCAGAGAAGGTCAAGTTTCTATATTAACTTCTTACTTGGAATTTCCTGAAAACCCTTTAAAATCTCCCCTCTTTAATTAAACTTCAAATATTGTCATAAAATACCTGGGTTAAAATCAACTTCAGAGGTCATTTAAACCAGAGGTTCCCAAATGCCATTTAAATCAATTTAATTAATAAGTCATTGGTTCATAAATGTTTATTATGTCATCTTTTTGTCCTTATTCTAGAGGAATCACAGTCTAGTGAGAAAGTAAAACAAACACAAAAAAAAAAAACTATCACAAGATAATTGGAATTTGCAAGACATAGAGCCCAGTATCTGTCTGCATTCCCAGACTCATAAGGAAAGAAAAGCTGGACAACATAGCATTTTTTTAGAAGTTATACTTCCTTGAAGGTACTTCATATGCCATATGCTAGAGAACAAAAAAATCCATGTTGAAATTTGTATGCTGGGTAGAGTTAGACAAATTCACAAAATGACTATTTGACTTTCCCACTAGATAAATTATTCTTTCTCATTCACCACAGTCACAGTGGTATGAATAAATCCCATGCTTTAACAAAATTTAGTAATGAAATCTATTTTAATAGCATTTGAAGTTGACCACAGTAGTCAAAACTCAAATCCTACATTAATGAATATCAGGACCTGCTCTCCATGGTAAGTACCAGAGGAAAGTTTGAAAGCTCTATTGTATTAGTTCAGAGAAGGAAAGTTTCCCAGGAGTTTTCCTGGAAAGTAATGTATTTGCAACATCTTAATAAAACAGATATGATTCAGTCATTATAGACAGATAATCCAATCAATCAAAAATAATGTGTGAAAGATAGCAATAATATAGGACAAGTATGTTTGAGGAAATAGAAGGAGTACCAGAATGACTAGAGTGAAGGATGCTTATAAATAAGGTTAGAGATGTACATAAAGACAAAATACTTTAGGGTTCTGAGTCTTAAATGAGAAGTCAACCAAGGGGGAGTTTTGAACAAAGGAGAGATTCAGGAAGATTAATCAAAATATAATATGAATCGGAGGAGGTGATAACTGTCTTTAAAAGTAGGCTTTATTGGGGCACCTGGGTGGCTCAGTCAGTTAAGCATTGAACTCTTGATTTCAGCTCAAGTTGTGATCTCATGCATGCTTGAGATCACACCTGCCCGGTGTCAGGCTCTGCACTGACAGTACAAAGTCTGCTTTGCATTCTCTCTCTCCCTTTCTCTCTGCCTTTTCCCCACTTGCATGCACTCACCCACTCTCTCAAAATAAATAAATAAGCATTTTAAAAATGAATAAAAAATAAAAGGTTTTATTATGATTTAGATATGGTGAGGCCAACAAATCAAGAGACAATTGACATTGATAAGATAGTTTGTTAGACAAGCAGACTCAAAAGGAAGGATGACAATATGCTAAGGGGGTCACATGGGGAAGCGCCAGGGAAGAAACAAGTGAAGCAGGGTAAGCAGACTTGGGATTAGCTAGTTTGGACCATTTTAACAGGTTCTGGAGTGTAGGCGCTGTCTCTAGTTGTCTGGTACTTGGCCCTGGAGTGATTCGATAGATCAGGTGCATAGTAACCTGGAATATGAGAGCTCAGAAAAGAAGGCTGTTGGGATTATGGCTTCTAGATTGATTACTTTGCCTATGAAAAGCCCACTCACAGTAGAGTTGTTTGCTATCTCTAGGAATCAGCTAACTCTGGATGGGATAGTACCAGATATCAAAGCATCAAAATAAAGAAAATTTTAAAACATGGTTAATAGCATGATATATAGAAATACATAGGGATATGGCAACTCCAGTCTGAACATGACAACAAAGTGGAGAGAAAGATTGTAAAGGAAACTCCAGAAAATAATCAGGTTTGAGAAGAATACACAAGCAGTTAAAAATTGAAAGTATAAGGGTGCCTGGGTGGCACAGTCAGTTAAATGTCCAAATCTTGATCTCAACAGAGGTCTTGATCTCAGGGTCATGAGTTCAAGCCCTGTGTTGGGGTCCACACTGGGCATAAAGCCTACTTAAAAAAAAAAAAAACTATGGGTATAAAATACCATAATCTTAGTGGTTTAGTCACTGCATCAATGATTGAAAAATGTAAAGCTGGTTTAGTGAGCAATGCAATTAATTTGAACTTAAATAGCAAAAATAAAATTATTTAATAATTTCTCATAAAATTCTGTGTGAGGTGGCCACATACCCTTCACTACTATCTCACTTATATAGATGAGGCAACTCCAGTTTAAAGAGATTAAGAGGCATCCTTAATTCATACATGTAATTCACATAGTGAAATGATACAGCTATAAAATATTGATAGTAATAGTAAAATCTAACATATTTAGCACTTACTGTGCCCAAGTCAATGTCTACAAGATTAAAAAATTATATCTAGTTTCAGTTCAATTCTCTTGCTCTACAGAATGTAGCCTTTGGACTAGCAGCAGAAGTGTCACTTGAGAAATTCAGATTTCACGCCTTACCCCAGAACTAAGGAATCAAAATCACAATTTAACAAGATCTTCAGGTGATTTATATACACATGAAAGTTTGAGAAATGTTGCTTTACACACCACACCACATCTGCCTTTATACTGAATTTGAGGTTCCTACAGGAACAGGAAGAAATATCAAGCCACTGAAAATGTAGTACTAGAGTCTCCCACATCGCCTGTCACAAAAAAATAAGATTGAGACAAAAGGTACAGATTTGTGCTTAAACTTTCATAGTGACTAAAAACTGCTGAGGAAAATGGTTAAAAACAAAAGAGGGACTGGGACAAAATCCCCATTTATTCAAAATTCCCATATATAACCACACCAAGAACTATATCTGAACCTGATCACATTTTAACTATAATATTCTACTCTCTGATACAACTCCTAGAGACTGGCATTTTCTTCGCCCAATGTGGAAGACATCATGAAATACATGTCTTCTTCACCTATGCTACCAAAAGCCATCATTGCTGAAGAATAGGCACATAAACCATTCAGATTACTGTCACTATAAATTCTGGGCCTTCAACATTGATAAATAATGCTTTTAATAGTCCTTGGCTCCCAATTTAAAACTCTATTAAATCTCCCAACCCAACCCCTAATCTCCCAATTCTCACAGCCTTAAGTGACTTGGTAATGTTCTCCATCTGTCAAGAATGGCTTGTAAAAAGGAGATCTAGTAACTGAGGTTGTGGAAGGATATTTGGAATAGTCCCCAGGGGTAAGTCGGAGACTGAAATAGATGTATCCAGTTTGACTGTCAGCATAGCTCCTCAGCAGATACTTTTGATACGGAGAAGAACTTATTGACTATAAAAATGGAAACTGAAGAAGGCACCACAATAAAAGAGCCATTTGAGGTAGACTTCAAAGAATGACTGGTTTTTTTCCATAAGCAGAAAAGGCTCAGCTACTAGAATGAATGAGCAAAGTCTTAAGAATGTAAACGCAAAACCCTGGTTTTCCTCCGTATTATAAACCCACAGTCAAATTTACAACCACTTGCTTCCCTCTATGTGAGAGGAAGAGTCAAGCTATATATCTTTTTTGTGCTGAGACCTTAAAGATCAGCCTTTAACCTAGAGTGGGTTTTTATGGCTGAGTTATAAACATCCAAGAACTAAAACCTGACAGTTCTTTAAGTATTGTCACAGCAGTAGATGATGCTTCAGTAATTTCAGCACATTTCAACTTCTGCTGAATACTGTGCCTTAAGCATGATGAGATTTGATTTTATCTGTCTAAACAACACAAAGGGAAGTACAGAGGTTGCAATTTCATGATGAATTGAGTCTACTTAGCCAGCCACACTGGATAATCTATGAAAGATGCTTTCAATGTGAGACTCGCCAAAATGGACTAGACATTCTGCCAGGTAATTGCTCAACTTTCCTTGTATATCCCTTGAATAAGCACAAGCTGTATAATTTTTAAAATATCAACTAACATCTTTGCAGTAATATACAAGTTTGCAAAGAAGATTGTGTGCAGCCATGTGTGCAGTCACATGCATATGTGACTGAATCCTCACAAAAACTTCACACAGTAAGATGGGTCCTACTGTTGTCTGTATGAAGTCAGAAGGAGGATATGATTTTCCCATTGTTCTTATGTGAATGGTTGAAATGAAGACCCAATATCAGTGTGTTAAAAATCAAGTAGTTAGTGCATTAGAATGGAATGTATCTTGTACAAACCCTTAATTCACCAGGGTTTTTAATAGCTCTTTCAGTTACTCTGCCCGGTGTGGTGACCATATTTGTGGTTTCAGATGCAAGATGTAATTGGAGCAGCTACAGCCAATCAGAGCAACTTCCGAAACAGCATGGATCATACCATTTCCTACATGAACACTTATTCCATTCCTAAGAGTGTGCAGAATCGGGTTCGGACTTGGTATAAATATACATGGGACTCTCAAAGAATCCTAGGTGAGCAAGGCAAATTACTGATTAAATCCCCGTATAGCATGTCATATAATGGAAGTTCTGCAGAACTTAGAGGCAGAAAATAATTGGACTCGAACAAAAGATTGGAAAACAACTAAATGATCTTCAAATTATTAATTGAAAACCATGAGATTTCTTTCTTAAATATCCATACATAACTTACTGGTTATGCAAATCCTGGAAGACCATACCCAGCTATTCCCAAGGTCATGACAAGTGAGGAAAGGCAGCAAAAGGAGCAGTAACAGGTTTCTTCTTTCTCTTCAACTATACTTACTGCTCCATCACCTCGGTTTAGGAGGGAACTAAGGACAAATACCCCTTGGAAACAAGGAGCTATGTTTTGATAGAAAGGACTTTCAGATTTAGAATCAATATTGGAATCAAAATAAGGATATAATGTATCAATTCTTTTATTTTTTTTCTAAATGGTTGTAAGAAAACATAAAAATAATCAACTCAGAAAGTTGTCCCATACTAGAGACTAAGAATGGGTAGATTTATTTATGGAACTTTTTATCAGCCTGAAGGTCTATCATTTAATTCACATACAGACACATCTTTAATATATTCACATTCTTCACTGAGTTACTAAGCAAATAAATAACAATAGTTTAAAGTTACTCAGCACATTTCTCTTTTAGACTCCATTCCCAGCTGAACCACCTATCAATTATTCACAGTTGAACAAGTCACTTACAGCCTCTCTGAGCTTCAGTTTTTCTGTTTCTTCTTTCTGCAAAGCAGGAATGAGAATACCTTAGGATTGTCATGAGGGTCACATTATTACTTATCATCTCTAAGATGTTAGAGTTGGAAATATGCAGAATCAAAAGACAAGAACTGTATGCTTTTTCCATCCAGGTAGTACACTAGCCTTTGTCCCATGATCACTAAAATTTATATCTAAAGTTTCAGTAAACACAATGTTCTGAAACTATTCAGACCTCCTATGTCATCAGTAGTTAAAACACTGTACTTCTTTTCTCTCATTGAAGTGGTAGTGCCATTGTGATGTGTATGTATGTCCAATAGAAATAAAAATATAGAACTTGATGCAGCTGTTTATAAAAAGAGTTGACATTTTGTTTCCTTAATTTTAAAAATTTTTCTTATACTTTGGTGATATTTTTTTTAATTATCCTGTTTGTGGGTTTATGTTTTTTGTCTTTGCAAAGATGAGTCAGATCTGCTCAGTACACTGCCTGTCACCATGCAGTTAGCTCTCACCGTGGATATGAACTTCAGCATCATCAGCAAAGTTGACTTGTTCAAGGCAAGTGCTTTTGTAATTAATAAAAAAAACACCATATAATTTCTCTATAAAGTCTAAGCTCTTACTGTATACAGCATTTATTATTTTTATTGCCTTATGTTTTAACAAAATCAGCAATCTGGACAATTTATGTGGAGTTAGAGTCAAATAAACTGGGTCTCTCTTCAGCAGATGACTTCTTCTTTAGAAGCCACTCTCTCCTAATTGGGGTCAGAAAACAGTTTTTCAGGCTCTTCTTAATTAATTTAAATATAATTAAATTCTACAGCTTTATGTCTCTGCTACTATGCATACCATTTCCCATTTATGAATGTACCTTGGCAATGAGTGACAGACCAGATCCCAGATTAGCTCTGATTGGTCTGACAATCATAAAATTATTCCTAACCATGTAACTTCTGTTACAAGTGCTTTGGATTTAGAGTTTTTAGATGGCCAAATTCAAATTTAGAAGCTTTTTTTTTAGGAAAAAATACATAACAAAGAAATTTTTAACTTTTTGAACGTCTTTAATTTTACTACCTTCTCCTCTTCTTAATGCAATGTACTGCATGTAAGCTTTTCTCCTTAACATTTCATCCTGTGTGTGTCTTCCATTGATTCATCTATTTAATTATCTGTTCATTCTGTTCATTCAGCAGATATTTATTAAGCTCCTACTATGTCCCAGGCATCACTTTAACCACTTTGTTTAAAACAAATACTTGCTACATAGAGCTTAAGTCCCAAAGAGGAAAATAAAAAAATAAATATGAAACATGTTTGGAGATGATAATTCTATGAACAAAATTAAGACTAAGGAGGATTAGGAAGGTAATGGTCAATAAAGGCTTCTTTGATAAAGTACAATGGAGTATTTAAGCAAAAGACTACAGGAGGCACAGAAGTGAGCCATGTAGACATTGGAGGAGGGAAAGAAGGAATGTGCAGAAGGGCAATATTACAGGAAAACAGACAAGATGAAGCCCTGAGCCAGCAACATCCTAAAGGAGACCAGGGTAGCTGAAGCAAGGGCAGAGTGATGGGAAGCAAGAATAGTCAAGAGGACAGTAAAGGAAAGGGAAGTCAAGGCAGAGGGAAGTTAACAGAGGATCTTGGAAGCTGTAGGATAGACCTTGGACTGTACTGTGAGATGAAAAAACCACTGAAGATCTTAAGCAGAAAGTGACCTATTTAAGATCAGTTTGAATGGATTCTCTCTCCTATAATGTGGATAATAGACCATGGAAGCAAAGGTGGAAGGCAGAGAGGCCACATAGGGTTTACTGCAACCATCCATAGAAGACATGATAGAGACAGACCCAGAACAGTAGGAGTAGAATTGTTAAGAAGTGGCCAAATACTGCATATATTTCAAAGAAAGAGGCCCAAGCTTTTGCTGTTGATTGTGTGAAGGGAGAGAGAAACAGAGAGAGAAAGAGAGGAAGCAAAGCTGACTCCATGAATTTAAGCCTGAGGAACAGGAAGGACAAAGATATCACTTGCAAAATAAGAAGTTTTGGAATAATTGAAGGGTGAGGGGAGTAGAAATGGACTCTGTTTGGGGATGGTTTGTTTGAGATGGGAGTTAGACCTCCAGGTGAAATGTCATGTAGGCACTTTGGTAAATAAATTCGAGTTCAGGGGAGATATCCAAGCTGGAGTAATAAATTTGGGCATATTAACATATTGATGTATTTCAAACCAGGGGACTGGATGTGATCCCCTAGGTTAAAGACAGACCAGATGATATAATCCAGACAGAAACATATGCCTTGAAAATACATAATCAACACCATTAGGGACAAGATGAAGAAGGAGAAACTTTTGGTAAAATGGTTGGGCAGAATCACTCCCAGTGTTAGGCTCACCCCTGGCTCCATAGGATACTAGAGTTAAGTCCGTATCCTAGGACTCTTTCCTTGGTATATGATTCTAGATTTCCATCCAGATTTTGGTGAAGATATAAACCATGTGATTTTCAAATTTGTAGATGACATAAAGTAAGACAGAACAGTTTAAAATGTGTTAGATTACAGGGGTGTCTGGGTGGCTCAGTCAATTAAACATCCTACTTCAGCACGGGTCATGATCTTGCAGTTCGTGGGTGTGAGCCCCATACCAGGCTTTATGCTGATGATGCAGAGCCTGCTTGATATTCTCTTTCTCTCTCTCTCTCTCTCTCTCTCTGCCCCTTCGGCATGCTCTCTTTATCTCAAAAGAAATAAATACACTTAATAAAATAAAATAAAATATGTTATATTGCACAACTAAAAATTAACTGAATACTTTGAAACAATGAGCCAGACCAAGATTAACTGAGCAGTATAAAAGTAAAGTTCCAAATTTAGGCTGAAAACTGAAATATTACAAATATAAAAGAACCATAGCTAGTTTCACATTTTTTTTACATCTGGGCATTTTTACTGACCTTAAACTCTGTATAAATCAACAGAGTTGTATATTATAATGCTATAAATTTTAACATAATTTAGTTTTCTTGATTACTTCAACTACGTCTGGATTAACCTAAAACATTGCAAATAATCAGTTTTAAGAACTTTTACAAGGTAGATAAGCCAAGGGGGTAAAAGGTATGAGTTAAATAGTGAACCAAGGAAATAGTGAGATTATCCTCTTATAAATAATATTATTTTATAATAATATAAATCATATCAACAATTGCTTCTAGTGGGGCGCAGAGATGAAGATACTGATTAGGAAGAGGCATAAGGGAATCTTGTGGGGTGAATATTTTTTTGTCTTGCTAAGGAAATTATACATTTGTCAAAATTGATCCAACTGTCTCTTAAAATTTTTATATTTCACTTCTTATACATTATTCTTCCATTAAGAAAAGAATGACTTCAAAGAAAAGTGTTTAGTTATGGGATGTTTAGTTATAGGATGTTTAGTTATGAGAAAAAAAATAAATTCAAGAGGAGAAGTTACATATATTAAAGTCAGTTATATAGATAGTGAGACTTACTCTATATCGTCTAGCAAAATAACACTCAACTGTAAACTCCATTTCTGAGCAACAGACCCTGTACAGAAGTATAACCTTTTAGAGAACGAGCTGTGTACTAATAGTCTTGATACTCACTGGACACAGCATTTTTAGACACAGAATAGCTGCTTAGCAAGAAGGGGGCGGGGGGAAGTGGAGAGAGAGAAAGGGTGTGGGGAGAAGATGCACTGAGGCCAACTCCTGGAGATTATATGAAAGCAGTTTTCTAATTGGAAAGTAATTTCCAATTTCTAATGAGACTCCCACAGTGGAAACTCTGGTGAAGTAGAAACGTCATGGAATGTGTATAGGCAGAGTTTTCTCATCTGTCAGGGAGACTGGGAGAGAGATGCCTCCACTGGTTAGCAGGTTCAACTAGATAAATGGTTTTCAAGCTGCGGATTACAATCCATGGGTGGGGGGGGGGGTGGAATCATGAATTCAGTTAAGGGGAAAACATGTAAAACAGAAGAGAAAATATCAGAGTACTTCACACATAAGTAAGGGTAGGTATTATATTAAGAAATTTTTGTTTCTTTTATTTACTTTTAAATGCACATATGTAGGGGGTCTTGGGTGGTTCAGTCAGTTTAGCATCCAACTCCTAATGTCAGCTCAGGCCTTGATCTCAGGGTGGTGAGTTCAAGGCTCGCATCTGTGCTGGACATGGAGCCTACTTAAAATAATATAGGGGGGCCTGGTTAGCTCAGTCGGTTAAGTGTCTTACTCAATTTCAGCTCAAGTCATGATCTCATGGTTCGTGGAATCAAGACCCATGTGGAGCTCCTCACTGAAGCTGCTTAAGATTCTCCCTCTCTCTCTCTGCACCTCCCTTCTCATGCTCTCTCTCTCTCTCTCAAAACAAATAAATAAACATTTTTTAAAAATAAATTAAATCAAATTAAAGCACATATAAATATGTGTATACTAGGCTCCACATAAATATCTGTGTTACTGTAGGGTATGGTCAAAAAAGATATGAAAGCCATGAAGCTAAATTATTTTAATAGTATTTTAAAATGTTATAAAACTCTCAGGGTGCCTGGGTGGCTCTGTAAGATAAGCCTTCCACTTCAGCTCAGGTCATAATCTCACAGTTCATGAGTTCAAGTCCCACATCGGTCTTTCTACTGTCAGAGCAAAGCTCACTTCAGATCCTCTGTCTCCCTTTGTCTCTCTCTGCCGAGCCCCTCCAAAAATAAATAAACATTTCTTAAATGTTATAAAGCTCCCTATACCTTAATGACTAGCTTAATTGAGAATAAGTAACAATAATTGACTCTCTAAAAAACAAAACAAAAGCTTTAAATTATGTACCAATGACTTTTATGGAATTATCTCTAATATGGGAAGTTAATCAGTTTTTAGCCTCAGAGTTTTTTCTTTTGTTTTTACATATATTTTTTAAAATCTGTAGAATTAACGACATCTGATTGAGAAAAAAAAGGTTAAATCTTCACATCTTACTAATGATGTATATAAACTTAGATTCATTTCCATTAAAAAGGTACTTTCTTCCAGAAAGTACCCATTTCTATTTATAATTCTATTAAATGAAAAAGTTATTTCTTTTTCTAAAGCTAAATGAAGTAGAAAATGAGTAGGTATGGAATTTTTCTAAATTTATTTTCATGAAGGCAGTCTTAGTAGTTTATACAAATTTGTTATTTTTCTTAAGGAGAAAATAGGCTGAATGGTGATCCTACACCCTTACCTCATAAGTTATACCCAAATGACTCTGGTGTTGCTTCTTTCATTTACATACATTCACAGAGAATCATCTATGCTCTCAGGCTGAGTGGACAATGGAAAGAACATTTGAAATATGTGTGCCCAGAAGATGCTTAGGAGTCTACAGGGTGAAAAAGTGGAGGATCCTGGACAAGAGCCTTCTTAGTATCACAAGCATGGGAAATTATAACCTGTTTACAGATTGAGAAGTTATGACCAGAGCATAGGATGATAACCAAAAATGAATCTAGAAAGGTCAGTGAAGCCTGGCTATGTAGTG